TGGACCATCTCTATGCTTTATATATGAGATCAGAGGAAATTACCACTCCCATAAAAATCAGAGATCTCAATAATTTTAGGAAAAATTAATCTTTTGACTCATATGACTTTAACTTAGTTGCAACTCAGTCCTCAAACTTGTACAACTTAATATCTGTGATTTTGCATTAGTTAAAACTTAATCCCTAAACTTTAATTTGCTATTACAAATCAGTCCCCATATATAGTTTTAAACATTATTTGAAAACCTTGGACCTTTCCCAAATCAGATCATCCTCAAGGTCTCAGGGATTTTAGGCCGATCAGCCTCTACAATGTCGCTCATAAAATTACTTCCAAAGTATTATGTAACAGGCTAAAGACTCCTCTTGCTTCACTCATAGCACCAAAGCAAAGTGCTTTTTTGAAGGGTAGATTGATATCAGACAATCTTATGCTAGCTGCTGATATTCTCTCTCAAATTCATTCAACTAGACAAGGTAGGCGAAAATTGCCTACGCTAAAGGTTGATTTTGCCAAAGCTTTTGATATGCTTTCTTAATCCTTCATCTCTGCTGTTATGCAAAGAATGAATTTCCTAGCCAAATGGATCAATCTTATACAACAATGCATTTCGACAGTCCAATATCAAATTCTCTTCAATGGGCAGCTCACCTCAATGATTCATCCATCAAGAGGTGTTCGTCAAGGCGATCAATTCTTTCCATATCTTTACATGCTTTCAGCTAATTTTTTATCATGCTTGATCTCTTCCTTTGAGGTATTCCAATCATGGAAAGGGATAAAAATTTGTAATGCCGCTTGACCTGTCTCTCATCTCCTTTGTGCAGATGATTCTATTTTCTTCTTTGAAGGCTCAAATGATTGTTGTGGCACAATTAAGTTAGCCTTGGATACTTACTGCTTCTGGTGAGCGCAATCAATAAACAAATCCAGGTCTACACTTATTTGTAGTCCAAATATTGCTCACCACAAGAAAATGGAACTCTCTCAACTCTTTGCAATCCATTTCTCACAATGCCTTGGCAAATATCTACGGGCTTGGATTGATCCTGGACGAAGCATGACTGTTATTTACCAGTAAATGACTCAAAACATTGATAATCGTGTTAATGCATGGCAATCCAGACTCCTTTCTCAAGCCTCTTGTCTCACATTGTTAAAATCTGTTTTGTCATCTGTCATTATTCATGTCATGTCTTGTATCAAACTACCGGATAGTATTTGCCAAGCCATTGACAATAAATGTATCGACTTTTTCTCGGTTTCACAAGGTGATCAAAAGAAGATTCACTTATTGAACAAAAGCAATCTCTTTCTACACAAAGATCAAGGTGGAATAAGCCTGTCACCCACAAGTCTTTTTAACAAAGCCCTCTTAACCAAGCAAATATGGAGAATTTTTATGGCATGTCAGGATTCTTTACCCCATTCCACCCTTAGGATTAAATACTTTGATGAATGTAGTCCTCACTTGGTCAAAAAGCCGTATAACTCCTCGTGGATGTGGAAGGGAATAACTGATTGTGCTGGATTGATATCAGATAGGCTCAAATGGAAGGTTGGAAATGGCTCCTCAATCTTCCTTAACCACCATGCTTGGCGGCCCATGCAAGTTAGTTCTGATGTTTCTGCAAGTATTAGCAGAGTCTCGGATCTTTTAGTGCATGATTCTCCTTTCTGGAATCCAATCGGATGAAATAAATCTTTAATTTTCAGATTATGTTAGTCAGACGTTGCCTCTCTTATTTGTAGCCAGCCATTATCTCTCATAGCTCAATCAGATTGACAAGCCTATGTTTTTACATGCATTTTTATACATTTTTGGTGGGTTTTTATCATTATTATTGGTCTTTAATTGCATTATTTGAGTATAATTTATATCAAAATGCTTTAACTTGAATTAGTGCATAATAGGGGTAAAATTATCATAATTGTGATTGATTGATTTATAAGAATAATTAATGCTACCTTATTCTTAAATTTTAGTTGCAGATTTGCTGAAGAATTAAAAATCTAAAAAAAAAAAGGAAAGAAATATATGAAAAAAATAAAATATATATATAATAATAAGAGGGTCAGGTAGTAAAACTGTGCGTTTTACTACCTGCCCTAAATTATTAAAATCATCATCATCTTCAACAAAGGACGCACGAGGAAGCTGACGGCCAAAAGGATAAAAAAGGCGAGCAGAGGCACTATTCATCATCATCTCTAGCGAGAAGGGACCAGGGGGCGACGTTGGAAAGGAATTCAGCGTGAGCAGTGAGGGCGCCTTCACCTTCTTCTCCTCCTTCTCGGCGTCAACAGAACCAGTGAGGATCAGAGGACTGCGACGGCGCGACAGAATCAGAGCAGAGCAGCGACGCCGTGAAGCTGCAGTCAGACTTCCATATCCCATTCTCGCTGAATCTTCATCCTCCATTGATCCAGTTCCACCATTATCATCCTCTTCGACTTCTTCATTGTTCTATCATGGCTGGATATGGTAGACTGCTGGAGGTAGTATTTTTTATGGTTAACCGTGCCTAGAGCTTCATAATTCTCTAATTCAATAACAATGACAGGTGCTCGGATCATCAAAGAGAAGTTTTAGTTAATTTAATTTCCTGTCTAATAATTATTTAACAATTTCTAAGTTTTAGGACAGTTACCTTTTTTTTGGTTGACTTTAGGATAGTTCCCTACCAAGACTTTAGGATAGTTATTTTGATTATTGGAAAATTTGTATTGTTTAATTTAATTATATTTAGAAATTATTATGACTGGATTACTATTTAGCATTTGATATTGGACTGTTTATAGCTTTAATTTCAAGTATAATGTTGTGATTATGATATTTTTATTGATTTTGGAGTTAATATATTGCGATATTCTGAGATAGCTCAAAATCTTATATCATATTGTCTCTTATTAGCTTTAATTCTATTATTTTGGATTTAAGAGTTTTTAGCATCCTTAATTCTATTTTACTACTCTGGTTGTAGTTAGTAATTTAGGATTTTGAAAAATATTTCGTGACAATTCGAGGTGGCTCGGTTGTTGGATTAAAAGCTTAATTGTAATTCTTAATTCATTATTTTAACTCCCGTATCTTTTGGAGTGAGCATTGTCTGCGTTGTTGAATTAGAGGATTGATTATTAGCATTGTTATTTGTGTGTTTCATTTTCATTTCTTTAATCTTCATTCATTTTAATTATTTTTATATAAAAAATAAAAAAAGTATTTTAATTTCAATTTAATTCATGGTATTTAATTAGCAATTATCAAATCAAAAATTATTTTTATAATTTAGATTACTTGTATTAATTTACTATGATTTAATTTCGTTTTCAGCTCCTCAAAGTAAATACGATCCGGATTGTGTACTATATTGCGTTAATTCAATTAATGTTTAGAGTAACCCAAAGCGACAAATTAAGAGCTTTATTTCATCAATCAAGGGTCCGTTTGGCAAGGCTTATTTGGGCTTAAAAGCTGCATTTTTTTCCTTATAAGCCTGATTGGCTGATCTGGTTGTGTTTGGCTGGGCTTAAAAAAATAAGCAACTTATATCTTTTAAGCTGCAAAACGTGCGATCTGAGATAAGCTGAAATTTGTGGCTTATTGCATTACTGTAGAAGCTTATTTTTTATCGTTGAATAGGGGGGTCATTTTCATGCTGGGGTGTCATTTTTCACGCTCAGTTTTTTTCTTCCAACACCACTCTCTAGGCGACCGTGGGCTCTAACCCAGCGTCCGCCATCACATCCTCGCCAGAACCACCCATACCTAGTTGTCGTCAGCTCCGTCACGTCTCCGCTGTGGGGTCGTCGTCTTCGGTGTGGCTTTGAGTGACTGAGAGGCTGGTCCTTCATCGCGTCTCGTCCTTCTCCAAGCTGGTGTCGGAGTCTCCAACCCAGGTCGCCACCGTCTGCCAGTGCATGTGAGGTGTGCTTCGACTTCTTAGCCTCCTAGTGGAATAGAGTGTCCGATCTACCTCTGGCAAGCGTCGGTTGGTCTGATCTGAGACAGGTTGGCCGGTTCCTATTTTTGTGTTGCTTTTCAGTGAGCTGATATAACATTTGGATGAGGGGATTCACAAAAAAGCTACGAAAATGCTGACGGCTTTGCGACTTGTGAGGGAGAGGAATATAAATTTTAATCCTTGAAACTTATTCGTCTTCAATGATCTAGATATTGCAGCAATTGCAAGATGGAGAAGTTTTTGATTTAATATGAACTGATCCTGTCAAGTTGGCTTTTATCCGTATAGAGAACACTTTCAAGAATGTATCAAATCTGCATGCTCTGGTGATGTTTGTCATGGGCGCAACATTTTTTTTGACTTTGTGTTCATTTAAATTGGGTTTGGACTATTGGGAATGGGAAAGAAGAACCAGAATAAACAAATCTCCTGAATGGCACTTTGTTCTAATCCACTGTGGTTGTTATGTGAATGATTAGTTATTATTAATTCTTCCCTCTTTTTTCTTGTGAATTTAATTATTGTCCAGATAATATATGTGGAAGAGAAAGGGATAAAGTGGGCATATTTTAATATTTTGATTAATTGAATATATACTCCCATTAACTATAGTAATGACCCCACAAAATGCTTCAACGTGGTGGACTTGTTTATGACCCAATTATTTTTTATGGCTTTAATTACCAAAAATATAATATTAATTATTGTGCACACCATTGTATGTAGTCATCTATTTTGAGGATATAGAAGAAAGAAGAAAGAATAGAGAAGCTTATTAGAATGTGAACTCATGAACACTAATCAATTCATCATTATTTGAACTTAAAAAATGAGCATTATTGTGTAGCTTACACGATTAATAAAAATTAATTGTGGGCTAGGGGGTGGGACCCGAATAATTATTCATGAGATAAGTGCAAATTTATCCAGCATTAGGATGTGTTAGTTCTGGTTTCTTTAGTTTGAACTTGAATATTTTTTTTGTGCTTTGTTTGTTTTTGTTAGTCTTATGTATATTATTTCCCACCTAGAAATGGATAACGACAAAGAAAAAGCAACTTGGGATCCGTACACGACAAAAATTCTGATCGATGTTTGTGCCGAGCAAATAATGCATAAGGAACGGCAAGGAACATCTTTTACAAGGCCTGATTGGAACAAAATTGTCATGAATTTCCGGGAAAGGAGTGGAAAAATGTATGACAGAAAGCAACTTAAGAATAGATTTGACATTTTGAGAAAGGATTGGAAGTTGTGGGAAAAACTTATGTCTGGGGAGACTGGCATTGGTTATGATGTAGCGACAAATAGGGTGTTGGCCTTCGATGAGTGGTGGCAGCGAAAATTAATGGTAACTATTTATATTGGTTGAGTTTTAATTTTGAATATCATTTTAGTCATCGCTTACACTTGCCTTATTACGTTAATGTAGGTGGATCCCAATTTCAGGAAATTTAGGCATCAGGGGTTGATGTTTGCATCAGATCTGATGAAAATATTCAAAAATGTTGTGGCTTCAGGAGAGTACATGTATGCACCCTCATCCTCACAGCCTCAGCTAGCATTCGCTCCCCATCCTGACACAGAAGAGGAGGAGGATGTTTATAGAGTTGGGCTTGACCAACAGGAAGGGTCAAGGGACAGTGAGGATGAAAATTTCGGTGTTGACCCAATAGCCACCGCAGGGGTCTCAGATGATTTTGTCGGTTGCAACTTAAACAACCCTTCGAGTACTGGACCAAGTGGCTCAGGAAGTTATGGAAAGAGGAAAAGGGGTGAGACGTCTGATGCGAAGAAGAAGAAGAAAGTTGCTGCATCTACAAAAATTTCTGATAGCCTGAGTGTTATAGCAGCTGCTTCTGAAAAGCGAGCATCAGCATTAGTTGAAGATCCCCAACAAGTTGAGAAGATTTGGGGACACCTAGCTAGCCTTGAGGAGCTTAATGGTAACCCTCAACTATATTATGCATGTGCGAAGATGCTTACGCGATTGAGGTGGGCTAGGCGAGCCTATTTGGGGTTTATGCATGATATATGCAAGTTGTTGGAGTGGTTGATACCGGCAACACAAGACCCAGACACATGGAAGGGACTTGTAGATTAGGAATTAGTTTAGGACTTTGTTGTCTCACTGTTGTTACTGCACTTGTTCACGTGAACTAATTGCTGTTTGAACCTAAACTTATGTGACCTGTTGTAGAAATCTTATTAATGACTATGTAATATATGTACGCTAATTTCTACTTATCATCTATGTGTTTGCTTTTTCTGTTTGGTTTTTCTGGTTGCAGTATGAAAATTATTTACACCTTATTTAGGGTAATCCTTATAATGCTTACACTTTGTTGTCATCCTAGTTTCAGGGTTAACTTTAGAAATGGCTTCTTGGAATGATGATTCACCATTGAATGAAGATACTTTGAAGGATTGGAATGATGATTCACAGTGGAATGAAGATGACCGTTCAAGACAGATTAATGAGGAATTAACACAATGTGAAGCAGTAGGTGCATTGATTGGTCATTACTGTGAAATGTATATGTTTAAACAACCCTGCAGAACTAGTGAGCAAACAGGAAATTTATGGGTGCAAGGCATTATGAATGACCATGATGATCGATGTCCCGAAATGTTTAGAGTGGATAAACATGTTTTCCACCTCTTATGTACCAAATTGGAGGAACACGGTTTACGCAAGTCTAAATATGTAGGAATTGAAGAAATGGTCGCGATGTTTTTAAACACGGTTGCACATGGACAATGTAATAAGATGATCCAGGAACGGTTTCAATGTTCAAGGGAAACTGTAAGTAGGCACTTTCATAATATACTGCAAGCTTGCCTTAGCCTATCAAGTGAAGTTATTCGACCCATAGATCCTACATTTCGTGGAACTCACAGAAAAATTTAGACCGATCCACGTTATTATCCATTTTTCAAGGATGCAATCAGAGCAATTGATGGCACTCATATACCGTGTGTTGTCCCTGCTGCAAAACGAGACAAATTTATTGGCAGAAAGGGAAATCCATCACAAATGTCATGGCTGTATGTGATTGGGATATGTGTTTCACTTTTGTCTTGGCGGGATGGGAGAGATCTGCACATGATGCTCGTATATTTGACAGTGCTATTACAAATTCATCTCTTAATTTCCCTCATCCACCTCCAGGTATATGTTTATAAGTTTCAATCATGCATGTTTTTTTAATTATTTCATATTTTTTTCTTTTCACAATCTCTCTAATTGTTTCATGAATCATTAGGGAAATATTACTTGGTTGATGCGAGATATCCAACACCAAATGGATATCTAGGTCCATACAGATCTGAGCGCTACCACCTTCCGGACTTCCGACGACAAGTAGGATTCCGAAATAGCAACAAAGCCTTCAATTACTATCATTCTAGTTTAAGGTGCACAATAGAAAGAACTTTTGGTGTTTGGAAGAATAGATTTCACATCTTACGAAACATGTGTAGTTACGACTTCCAAACACAAGTATACATAGTTTGTGCAACAATGGCCATTCATAACCTTATAAGGAGACATTCAAGCTCCGACTTTCTTTTTGAACAAGCTGAAAATGATAATATAGTGGCCGAACATGATCAGGCTGAAGCTAGTCAACCATCGCCTTCAAATGTTACATCACAGTCTTCATCGCATATGAATCGTGTTCGTGATGCAATCAGAGACCAAATTATTCATAGTTTATCAAATAATTAATTATGTAATATTATTTATTTTACTTTGTCAATTAGAGTTCAAAACTTGTTATCCATTTAAATTATGTTTAGTTGACTTCTTCGTATTAAATTAATTTAAATTTATTGTATTATGTTTTTTTTTTATCATGTTGCACTTCGTTTCTTAAATATTTTTTATGATTTCTCTATAGTTCTTAATTCTAATTCACTCATTAAATTTTACTTCATCATTATATTATCTCTATTCAATTTTTTCCTTCTTTCACTTTATATTTAAAATAATTTTTTTTATTTCTCTAAATTTTTAAAATTTAATTCACTTATTCGTATTAAATTACTTTAATTCTATTGTATTATGTGAAATTATTTTTTTTCTTTTTTTATTATTTATTAAAACTCATACCTATTTTGGTCATTTTACAACCAAACTTACTTTTACTCAACCATAATCCAAACAACTTTTCACTAATCTCACTTTTGCAAATGGGCTTTTTTGAACTCCAATCCAAACATAATTCAGCTTATCCAATTTAGCTTTTACCCCACTTCACTTATCCATAAGCTACTTTTTCAATAAGCAGCTTTTCCAATCGCTCATCCAAACGGGCACCAAATCTATTAGTCTGGAAATCTTTCAAGTTCTTATAAGGTTCAGGATGGCTGCCAACTTTATACTTTGAATGAGTTACAAAACCCCCAAGTTGATCCCTTCTAGAAATTTCTTTGGGCAATCTCTCTCTCATATAAGCATCATCTTTTCATTTGGAAACTTCTTCATCATGCCATTCCTTCCTTTGATGTCCTTAGAAAACATCATCTCAATGTGTCAGGTTCATGCCTTTTTGGATGTCAGGATAATGAAACTTTAGAACACCTCTTCATCTTATGCCCTTACGCAAAAGCTGTATGGTTTGGATGCTTTTCAATCCACTTGCACGGTATGTCCTTTGCTGATTTCAAATGTTGGCTCAAGCAGACTGTTATTAACCTGTGCAAGGATAGTCAAACTTGGATGTTAAAAGGCATTATTACACTTGTCAATTCCTTTTATGGCTTAGTAGCAATCTAGTTTTACATGAAGGAAAAATCAAGTAGCCAGCTTCACTCATTCAAGAAATAAAAGGTTTCATAACCTTTTTAGACATTGCTTATTTAAGGGAATGCTCTCACAGAGATATTGGCATCCATGCTCAAACTATTACTAAAAGTATGGGTCTTGAATTAGAAGGGTGGACAATCATTCTTCAAATGCTTAATAGTAGGAACAGGGACTTACATTGTAGCCTCACAGTCTATTTACATAGAGAGATTTTGCAACAATTCCTCTAGAAAAGGTGACACTTAGTAGAATTTGTGTTCTTTGGCCAATGTCCTAGAGCAGCTCTACTTTGGATAAATGGTTATGCATCACATAGCTACATTAACAACAGAAATCTTCACTTGTGGTGTGTTGATAAAGCCCCTATTAATATAGCCTCTCTACAAGCGAAGAAATGCGATATGATGTTTCAAAATATCCATTCTTTACTCAAGGATTTTAATTTCTTTGATGTTAAAATTATATCCTTTGTTGCTCTTTCAGATTTAGGACTTATATCTTTCGGGTCATTTTCTTGTAGTTCATTTTAGCCTTTGTAAACTTTATTTTTAATGCATTTTGTTCTTAAAAAAAAAAACTTGGACCTTAAACTTCATGAAAATGTAAAATAATAATTTTAGTTGGAAAAACTAATCTAACAATTGTTGTAGTTTCATCAAATTTTGAATCGGGTTCCTATAAATTTTTCCTTTTATCTAATTTTAGTCCTTCCGTTAATAGCAGTTCCAATGCCGTTAGTTTACACAAGGACAAAGATTGCACCCAAATAGCAAACTGCTAAAGCTCTTTTACACAGTAGAATCTGCTAGCCAAACCTTGCAACCAAACAGATTCATGACAGCCTCTTCTAGAGCCACTCACTACCCTTGTTCTCTGCTTTGGCTAATTGCTTCTCTCAAGGTATCAAAGTTTTGTTTTTCGTGGAAATATATATTTGACGTGTCTGATATGTGTGGGTGTGGGTGTGTGGGTGTGTGTGTGAGCTTTAAAATGAGGTTTGCTTTTAGCTGAAGTATGTAAATAAAATTCTTTAAAATCTTGGAAACAATTTTAGCTGTACATTTCTTGCTCTGTTCTTAAACTTACTATTTACAGGGTCTGAAGCTTGTTATGCCCAGAGAAGCAAAACTTAGGCTTATTTCCATAACCAAGCTACCTTATCATTCTCTGCGTAGCATTTACAATTCGATTACTTGATACTATAATCCTAGGTACTTGATAACAATTATGAGTTATTGAAGCAGAGAAGAAATATGTTAATGTTTCTTATATTCATTGTGTCAAGTTCTCTAATCACATATAAACATGTATTCAATTTTTAAAGTATTAGATTTTAATAGTGTTTAATTATAAATCCACATTAAAAAAAAAGATACATGACCATTTGTGATTAGAGAACTCGACATAATAGATATAAAAACTTTGACCTAAGTATTTTTCCTTTTAATAATATATATCTTATCAATCAATTCATTTCCCTCATTTTTTTATTTCCAAATTCTTACACCTATATGTACAGATTTTTTTAGTCTTTGCGCAGATTTGATTGCTAACTTGGGAGAAATCATATATAGGATATGTATGCATATTATCTAACAATCAATACACCCTCCCGTTTCGTTTCTTTCGTGCAGATTCTTGCACCTATAAAATATATAGTTTTTTTTTTCAGTTTTTCACTCTCTCTTCTCCAGCATAATTATCCAGAGGCATATGCATTTAGGCACAAATTCGATTCCGTGAATCATCTTTAGAACGAATTTGCCATCAAAATATTGCTCTGTTTTTAGTTATCAAGAGCATTTCATGAATCTGCTGGCACTACTAGAAAAAACCTCCTTTTATGCTGTATTATCTACGCTAGTCATTGCACTAATGGTATAATATATAAATGAGACGTGATATTTTTGTAAATAACGATACAATTTCTACATCAATTTGTCACGCACCTGGTGTAATATTTATTATTTACAGCAGACTTTTTGGCAACCAATGTAAATGTTGCATTTGTACATTAGTTATGGTAAATAACCAGTGTAATTAATTTTAATGTGAACATTGGGAAACTGAAGAGATAAGCCTATCTCTTTTGTTTTCGTTCCCTTGAAATTCAAAGGTCAATATGTCCTATTACTGTTTATTTAAACTCATAAAAATATTTAATTTCAACAAAATTAGACTCTTTCTTATCAAAATAGTGGTTAGGTGAATCAGAATATAGAGGAAAAGTTCATGAATTTTAATTCTGTTTCTTCCAATATAACATAGTGGCCTTTAAAACACCTTAGGTGTGT